CAAGTTGACAAACATTTTACCCCGCCCGGTCGGAATCGACGTTTCTCAAGCGTCACACATGTCATCGTCCTCAGGATTTCTTCATATAATGATGACGTTGGTCTGTTAAAATGTCACCAATATTCTTCAAGAGGACCATAATATACAGAACATCAGTAAACAATTCCATAGTCGCTTTTAATGGATAAAATTTTATTCGTTTTCTCCAATGCTTGCTTAATTATTATTATTATTTTGCTTAAGAAAAAAGTCATTTAATTGTTTATTAGTTTGACTAGATTTGATGCATAGTATATTAGTTGTGGTTATTTTTTTTTCTAAGAAAAATTATTATTTTCTATAATACTAAATTAATACGTGTTTTGATGACTAATTACAAATAACCATCTATCCCAATAACCTCAGATTAATTACATTCTATCTACTTAGTTCCTATATGCAATAACAGCCTTCTAAATTCATTCATTAATTCTCGATCGAGTAGATTCTGAGTGTCCCGTTCGGAGATATAACTCTCGATGTCGAACTCCAACCGTTGTAATTCTCTGTAGATCCTGATCAAAGAACGTAATCTTTTCAACAACTCCTCACCGCTGAGTTGCAGTTGGTCAAACCAATTTTTATAATTATTGATTAATTCATCGCGCTTCGAATTATTCTCTGCCTGCTTCGCGGTAGATGAGGGTGTTGTTTTTATTGTTTGACCAGATTTTTCTTGTAACGTTTCATCATCTGATATAACCACTATAGGTTCTAATTTTGAGTTCTTCGGTGGACCACCACTGTTAGCATTCGTCTGATTTATTGGATGATAACTCCGATTCTGATTAAGGGTATTATTATTATTATTATTGTTACTCTTCAAATAAGGCTTAACTCTATTTTTATAACTGATGAGTCTTGCAGAATTTTTGTCCAGGTTTAGACTGCGCAACCTATCAACATTTCGTTGTTCTACGTGGTATCCTGAGGACGATGACATGTGTGACGCTTGAGAAACGTCGATTCCGACCGGGCGGGGTAAAATGTTTGTCAACTTG